AAAACAGAGCCACATCACCTATTTCTATCTTCGAGCTGTCAGTTGAGCAGGTCATTGGCTGAGTGTGAAGGAGGCTCAAACTGGGAACAAGGTGTGCTTTGTACAAAGATTTTAAAAATTACATCTTACTAAAGCTGTTCTCAAAAAGAATGATGGGAGAGATTTCATCACTTTTTCTTCCTTCTTTTCATATCTCTTTGGGTTAATGTAAAGAAATTTAAAATATTATTGAAAAGTAGACAACATTTTTAAAAATCTGAAAAGATGGTGCTCATGTTTTTAGGCTCTCAACTATGAAAATAGCAATGGAGGCTTATATTACACCTCAGAGAAGCACAGAATAGCTCTGACCATGTCACTTGCCAGCCTGTTTCTACAACACACAGAATCAACAGCTTTAGATCTACAAGAGTGTAACTCTGATAAACCATTCATCCAAACCCCTCTACATAGAACTTTGAGTTATTTACTCTAAATTATATTCAGATTTTGGCAGGCAAACGTCTTGGACATAAAATACTTTTTTAAAGCACTGATTTTTCCATTAATCTCAAAGCATGAGTGGAGATTTTTTTAAATGTCCATTGAATGTCCACAGTGGAAACTTAAGGGCCACCTACACATTTCCTTTTAATGTATATGTAAAAAGGGCTCCATGAGTAGATGCATATGTGAGAAAACCACAGATGCTGAATCCAGCAAAACTAAAATAAAAATATAATGGAATAAAAATGACAAATAATCTGCTTTGTTTTTCATAATTCTTAAATAAGAATGCATTAAAATGCCACTTATTTAACATGCAGCATCAGTTCCAATGCTAAGAATGTTTGGCAGGGAGACCATTCACATATCCCAATAAATGTCTAAAATGAAATCAAAACTCTACATGCTCCATTTTATCCTGACATGTTTTTTAGATGATAAATATGACTGAGTGGCAGCTTTGCCACTATCTGATGAAATTCAAGAGTGTTTAGTAATTTTTTGTAGACCACATCATGGAAGATGCATTAGAAAAAGAATGGGTTACCATATTTCTACTACCTCAAGATAGGAGCAGGAAGCTGGAAACATTTCCTGGCGAGAGAGGGAAACAGTGAGGCAGGCTCCTCTTGTGGAGGTGTTTTCAGAGAGCCCGTGAAGTGTGTGGAGCTTTCTGGCTGGCTGATGGCAGGGGCTTAGTGTGCAGCGTATGAAGCCATGCATTGTCTGAGATTGGCCCACACTTCCAGAGCAGAGCTACCCCAATCCCAGATGCTTGCTGTTTGCTCAAAGACACAGACGTGCTCTGCAGTATCCAGGAATTAAGGAAGATACAATTCATGGTATGAAGATGTGCTTTCTGGAATGACCATATTTAGAATTTTCCATATATATTATGAAAGTTTTGTAGTAGGTACGTTTTATTCTCCCAATTAAAACTATGTATGTTTTTTATTACTTTGTCTGAAAATTCCCTTTCTTTTTCTTTTTTGCAGGCTGGACCAAAAATGATTAAAATTGCACAGATAATCTCTGTACATATTATACAATTAATCACAGTGGCAATGATACATGCTCCAGAGCTTAATGCAAATAGTCATCCCCAAATGCCAGTGCAGACTGGTACAAGACCATGATAAAGTTTTTACTGGAGTATCACAAAGTAAGAGAAGTAAGAAGAATATAGCAGTTTGTTTGAAAAGCTAAGTATAATCTAATCTTATATTATTTATTTTGAGGTCATTGTTATTGCTATTAAAAAGCTCCCCAAGAATAGAACTATGTCAGTGAGATGGTTAAGATCTTGTCTGAGGTTACACACAGCCAGGTAGAAAATCTGTATCCAGACTCAGGCAACCAAAGTCTAGAGTCCACTCTTGACTCTTAGTTAATTAATCCGTTAATATTTCTTATGACCTTTTTGTATATCAGTTTCTCCCACTAAAAACTGCAAAATAATGAAATTTCTCTCCTCAGTTTGTGACCATTTAATGAGATGTATTATGAAAAGATCTTAAATAGTGCATGACAACTACAAGTTCAATATAAACGACTGCAATATAAATTAGCATTTACCCAAAGTCAGACAGCTAGCAAGTTTCAGTAATGTAACCCAAACTCTGCTGTGGAGCTGGCACCTACCACTGGGCATGCACACCTCCTGCTGTGGCGTCACAGGGATTCACACCACGAAGCCCAAAAGGAGGGTGAGTCTCAAGGGAGAACTTAACTTAGCCGCATCATCAGTTTCAAAACTATCGGAGGCAGCTTCAGTCAACCATGGAAACGGGTAGTTGTTTTGTTAGCAACTGAGACACTAAAATTGTCCTGTGGGGGGGAGTAAAAGCAGGGAACGAGGTGGGCTGTATTCCCCACTGGTCCCAGTACTTGTGCAGCTGTTCAGTGGTGCTAAAGGGCTTAAAATAAAACAGCACAATTACCAGCATGACCCCACTCTGTTTTGGCTCCTGCAAGAAAGAAAACGTTCCTAGAAGGAACATTTGTTGATTTTTTTTTTTAATGCTAGATTTGACACAAGTTACTGGTTTGATTCTAAAGACTTAAAGCCTTCAGGGTAAGAAAGTTGTGTTTCTCAAAAGCAGGTGTACACACTCATACATACAGAAAAGCATTTTGAATCTTTGGGGCTCTATTCAGGACAAAAGCATAGGAAGCAGGTTCTTAGATATATGAAAGGAAGGAAAGAGATATTTTGAATTTTCTTCCAAGTGTCTCTTACCTGGGAAACAACCTGAAGAAAAAAATTGATGGAGTTGGGGATTTAGCTCTGTGGTTCCGCCGCCTGCGCAAGGACCCGAATTTGATCTCCGGTACAGAAAAAAAAAATTTTTTTTGACGGAATTTTTCCTTGTCCTTGGTCCTACATCTCTATGTTTGGTCTATTATTACTTGCATTTCATCAGCTTAATGTAAACCTCACTCCTCTTGTGGCTGCCAGACTAGGAAAAACTATTAGCCTATCAGGAAATCACCAGCTCTTTGAACTTATATCTTGATGAGTGAAAATTTGATGGGAGAATGAACAAGAAGGGTTGAGCAAATGTTTTAGGATCCAGTGCATTTTGTTATTCATACAGCTGATGACCAGAGCATGGTTTTGCCAATCCGTGAGGCCCTGGCTAAGCATCCCAGATCCACAAAGCTGGCTACTTCGCAGCCTCTCTTGCAGCCTCCAGCTCACAACATGGTTCAAGTCTTTCATCGCTTGTCATAGTTTTATAAATAACTCCAACCAAATGAAAGATTTCTCTTTCTTTGCCTGGGAATCATATTTACTGTACCATAAGTTGTGGTATTTTGTTTGGGACTTTGTTTTTAATTAGTTTTTCTTACCAAGGACACACTGTTGTTGAAACAGATGTTAGAGGGCCCAATAATACGTCTGGGCTGCCAAAGACAAAATGGAAACAGGGCGTATACTGTGCAGAAGAAATGACTGCAATGGGTGGATGATAAAGTCCAAATAAGAGAGCAAACTGACATTTCTGAAATGTAACAATTTAAGTGTGAGCACAGACTTCATGCATCTAGCACCGCCCTTCTGTACTTTCCCCCTTCTTGGAGTAATTAAACTGAAGGATAGGCTCAGGGTGGGGCTCCAAGCCCATTCCTTCCCCAAATCAGCACACTAATGTAGGATGGGTGTTCAAGAACTACAGCCCAGTTGACTTACAAACTGGGCCTGCAAGACTCTCTCTCTCTCACGCACAACCCATTTGCAAAATTAGGCAAAAATAGCCCCATGTAAACTGTAAACTGGTAATGTGTTTGGAATACAAGCCAAATTTTTTTCAAATTAGTAAACATCACGTATGAACACAACATAGGTTCACCAGAGTGGTATGCCTGTAAACTCTGTAACATCAGCCTTTTTGGGGCGGGAGAGGTCATGATTTGTGTTTTCCAGTTTTCACAGCATCAATTTTCCCACCATGATCGATTTCAAGGTTCCAAGATGATATCACTGAAGCAGGGCTGGGAAGGGCTGCACCGCAGACTCCCATCAGTATTCCCACCACAGGCCTAAATGGCATGGAGAGCATTCATATGAAGGAAAGGAGAATTAGTAGGTGATGAGCTTTAGGAACTTATTGCCTTACTTTTTTTTTTTTTGCCTTACTTTTAATACAGTTTATTTCGTTGCAAATTCATATAATTTTAGCTGTTAATTGTGACTGTGCTTAACAACCACCTCTTGAGATTCCTGAAAATTTGAGAATTGACTTTCATGGCTACCCGGAGCTGGCCTGCCACACTGCCGGTCCCTGTCACCATGTAAATGGCCATTTGACACTTTCCAGTCTGTGGTCCTGAAACCAGCAGTGCTGGCATCACCTGAGCTTTTGAGCACCTTCCCACACCTTTCAAATCATAACCCACATTTAACAAGATCCTTGGCTATTCTTAGGCTCCTTGAAGTCTGAGAAGCACCAAACTCAGGAACAACTTGAATGGATGCTAAATTAGGGAAATTTGAAAGTACATATACTCGATCTTTAAGTACAGTATAAGAGGGATTTTTAAAGAAAACCCCCAGTGATCATAATTTTCAAGACAGCTGCAAAACATTGCTGCAAAATACATAATGCCCTGAAATTTTTTGTTCAAGTTCTGGATAAAATAAATGAGGACATCCCAATGGCTTGGGAGGCAGGCATTCTTCAAGCCTCTTGAGTTTCCAATCCTAGCCTTTTGTGAAATTCATCAGGAGAATGCAGTGGAATAATGATGTGACCTCTCTGTACCTCACATTTCTCATCTATAAAATGGGGTGATATTAGTAGTACCCACCTGGCTCAGTGAGTATAAGAAAGAATGAGATTAAATGCTCACTCTAGCATTTTAAAGAATATGTAAATGCTAAACAAACTTTAGAAATTATTTATATTTCCTACAGGGGAATAATGCCAAGCCATTCTCTCCATATCAACCCTAAAATGTGTTCAAAAATAAGAAAGCCATGTTTTCCTTGGTAAGCCTTTTAAGAATTCTCATTTTGATTAGAAATTTTTATACTGTTCTTATTCCCTAACATTCATAAATGAGCATAGTAATTGCAATCATTTGTAAAATATATCCAAATGTCAGAGTGATATGTTCCAATTTGAAAAGTTGTCCGGGGTATTTCTGGGAAAGGGTCTTGCATTCAGGAGTTGTTTTGCTTTGTTTTGTTCTGTTTTGTTGTTTTTTGAAAGGCCAAAGAAGACAGGATCTCTTCTGTCCACTTCCATCCATCTGTGGGTGCTCCCTTGAACTCTGTGACTGAAGGAAAGTTCTGAAAACAAAAGAAAACAGAAAAATTCTGGATTTTTGTGATGGCTCCGAGCTCCTGCATTACCAAACCTGAACATCTTGGAGCAGATCTTTCCAAGGACTTTTACTATTCAGCGTAATTAATAGTCCATAATGTTTAAACTGGGTAGGGTTAGTGTTCTGTTATTCCCCAGGCTACATCTAAATCCATACAGGGGGAGTTTTTTCTTTTCCTTCCTCTCCTCTTCTCTCTTTTGCCCTCCCTCTTTTTCTTAAGCTCACAGTAAATACCAAATTTTTTAGACAACCAACACTATCTATTTGTATATATAATATGCTCCTATGTACAGTATGATTAGACCCAAAATATTCCAGAAAGTTGTAGCCAGCCAACTGGACATTCAATTTCAAATTCTATGCTTTGAGTAGATCTTCTCTTAGTTACCCTAGTGGAGAAAGCAACTGTGCAACACAGTTAAATCAGCACAAATCCAAAAAATTACTAAGAAAACATGAATTTATTAAACTGAAGAAAAAAATAATCTATTACACTATTTGCCATCATGAAGTTAAAAAAAAAAGCTGTTGATATATATTTTAACATTTGCAATATTCAGCTAATACTGTTGGTAAATCTAGCTCCCCCCCGCTTATGTATGTAATCCTGGAAATATTTCTTCAACGATGACTTATAAAGGTAAATTAGACTCCTGGAGTTCTAAGCAGGAAGAAAGAAAGTGCAATGACTGTATTACAGGACCTGGCTACATAGCTGACGAAGAACAACAGAAACCAAACTGATGACAATGAGGAAATCCAGAGATTGATAAAAAAAAAAATAAAAAGAAGAAGAAGAAGCCATTGGCAGACAAACAAAAGAAGAAAATGTGGCAGGGTGCAGTGGTGCATGCCTATAATCCCAGTAGTAGGGAGGCTGAGGCAGGAGGATTACCAAGAGTTCAAAGTCAGCCTGGGCTACATAGTGAGTTCAAGGCCAGCCTGGGCTACATAGTGAGTCCAAGGCCAGCCTGAACTACGTAGGGAGATCCTGTCTCAAGAAAGAAAAGAAAAGAAAAAAAAAAAAAAAGGAGGGGAAGGAGGAGGAGGAAGGAGAAAATAACAGACAAGAAAAGGACTAAGAAGACTGGTTTCTCTCTTCTCCCACCCTCCAGTCTTCCAGGTCAATTGCCCATAGTCAGTGCTAGCCAGAACCCAGCTGCCACCAGCTCCTGGAAGGCATATCCTGCAAGAATCAAGGTCATGAGGCAATGGATCTGAAGACAAGAGACACAAGATCTTCAAGGACTTTAACATTTGAAAGTCCTATGAGAAAATTTCTTCATTGACTAATTTTCATAGGAGTTTTTTTCTCAATCCTTTTGAAAATATTACAGAGGAATATGTGGGCCGAAGTTTTTTTTTCGACCTTAGTAGATTTCCAATCAGAATATTTAAGAATTAATTCATTGACCTTGAGGAAAAGAGATTACTCTGACTCCAGTTGGCAAGTAAGAGTTCCATTCAAAAGATTTGGCAATGAGCCTATTCTAATCAGATACCAATGTCCACATGGATAAGTGGGTACTGTCGAAGCTTAGAAACAAAATAAGGATAAACAGGGAGCACAAGTGAGACTGCATCTGTTCTCTCTCTCTCTCTCTGTCTCTCTCTCTCTCTCATTGAACTAAAATGGGGAAAGGGAAGGGAGGAGGTGGGGGAGGGGGAAGAGGGGAGTTAAGGGAGAGAGAGAGAGAAAGGAAGGAGAAGGAGGAAGAGCAAAAGGAAATTTGCATTTGAATCAGGAGCATTTTAATTACTACACAAGTCAAAACATGGATAATAAAAATGACCATTAAGATTTCAATCCCATAATTATTCATAGTCTTTCAGCATTTTGCTTTCTGAAGGAACCTATTCACTTTCCGCAGTCTTAACTATATTTCTCTTAGCTCAGTTGAAGCAGATGGTTGTAAACTCTTTTTATATACCTGAAAAGTACTATGTATCTTACTTCTTCTATATAATTTTTATCTTCAATCATAGTAACACATTTTCTGAAGATCCGGGTTTTTT